AAGGATATCGACATGAAATCCGACCAGATTTATTCTCTCTACGACGTCGTGGAAGGCCAAAAGCAGAGCGGGCATGAGATGACTGAGAAGGAGATGGAGATGACCCTCGAGTCGATTGGCATCAATACGACCATGTCCCAGGCCGCGGATGTTACTGGTACTACCGACAAATCGACTCGTCACCTTGGCCAGCTCGACATGGACGATGACGACGATGAGCTGCCGTGGGAGGGAATTGAGAGCACGGCCGATATGACCGGCCACACCCGCGACTGAGTTGATGCTTGTCTATCATTCTGGAGTTTGATTTTGGGGGTTGTTGTTTTGTAGAGCATTGGCCGCGTTTGGAGCCTAGCCTTTTGTTTTGCTCGTCTTTTGTATTCTCTGCCACATTTTGATTGGAGACTGTTGGCGCATTGTTTAAGTAAGACTGACTGGTGTTTGTTATTATTGTTTGTTACTTCTCTGGGAAACACCCAGGCAATGAATTTGATCATATTGTCCGTTTTTGGTTACGGATTAGTCCGTTCTTACAGCTTTGTTTCCCCGAGGTGGTCCCTGCAAAGGCGAAGATGCTATCCCCCGAAAGCCGGTAACTATTCCGCTAACAGTAGGACTGAGAACCCTTGATTCTGAGAATTGACAAGACTACGGATGTTGGATTATGTACTAGCAAATTTGAGACGTTCTTGTAGAATACCAAGATAATGATATTTGAGTGGAATGGTCAAAATTCTTTTATGTACACATTAATAACCGTACTTCAAGCCAGCTTGCTCTCTACATGCTCTTGGAGAACCACCTGCTCCTTTTGCACCTCAATCTTCTCTGCCACCATCCGTTTCTCATCGTCCCCTTCAAACAGATAAGCTAATTCCTCCAGCGTAGGTCCGGATGTCTCAACAAAGAAGAAATAGACAATGAGGAAGATGATCAACACCCAAATGTCATAGTAGATATAGAACTTCCAACCGATGTTCTGCAGCCCGATCGGGTTGACATAGCTGCCGAAGATGGACGTCACCTGGATGGTGAGCAATACGAACGCCCACGTCTTCGCACGCATCTGGAGGGTGACGACCTCGAGTGGGTACGTGACGATCAGATTCGTCCAGGCAAAGGTGTAGAAGAACTGGAAGACAAAGATACAGGCGATGACCACCCGTCCTGCTGGGAGAGAGCCACGCTCAAGATATCTCTGCGCGGCAATAGTCCATACGATAAATGTGACCACAACACCGCCGGACCCAGTCAGGAAGAAGAACCGACGGCGAAATCGATCGATCGTGAGGGCAACCAGGATGGCGACGATGTATTGCCACAGGGTGACCATTCCGTTCATGAGGGTGATCTCATATGAAGTCTTCAAGCCCGTGTCCTTCAAGATTTGGGTCAGGTAGTTCGACACAAGTAAGTTCCCAGAGCTCTGACTGAAGACGGCGGTGGCAAAGCAGAGAGAAATACGCTTCAAATTGGGGATAGACGAGAAGAAGTCCTTCCAGCTAATGTTGTTTTCGGCTTCCTTGGCGATGGCCTGCTGGATCTCCGCGCATTCGATATTGACCAGCTCTGAGTTGGGGTCGCACTCGCCATGATACTTGACGAGGATGTTGCGAGCCTCTTCAAAGCGACCTTTGGCAATTAGCCAACGGGGCGACTCGGGGCAGAACCAAATTAGACAGAATTGGTAGGCCGAAGGGAGGACCTGGATCAGCGTGGGCAACCTCCATGACCACTGGCTGGTGATTTGGTTGCAACCAAATGTTGCCCAGGCGCCAATGACATACCCAAGGACGATAGAGGTGTTGTAGAAGGTCGTAACCTGGACACGTTCCTTGGGATGAGACAGTTCAGTCACCAGGACCGGAGCACCCATCTGGATGAGTGAGGAGCCGGCGCCCAGCACGATCTTGCCGCCAATATACATATTCAGCGAGGTAGCAAAGAACTCGATAATGACTCCAGTAATAATAACAACAGAGCCGAGAGCAGTAGGTAAACGACGACCAAATTTGTCGCCAATCCAGCTTAGAAAGATGAAGGGAATGACACCACCAATGGCGCTGGAGGCTCCAAAGTACCCTAGCGTTGAACCCTCAGGGTGCCCAAAACGGTCTTGCCAGGATGAGAGAACCTGCATGCCATTCGTCATGGACTATGGATGCTTGTCAATATCCATCAGCAGCAAGGGAAAAGGAGAGCCACTTACGCCATCGATACCGAGTGCAGCACTTGCCAGCAACGAGGAGGTGAGGAGAAAGTACAGCAGGATTCCATTCTTCCGACGCCAGAATGGGGGCATAGACTGCACGTCGATAGACGACACAATGGCCTCGGCGGCATGGGCAGCAGCGGGAGCCATTGTGAAAGAAGTGAGCCGCAACGACTTAAGGGAAGTCTGTGATAGGATCACCTCGACTCAATCGCTGAGGAAGCGAAGGTGGCGGGTGAAGGAAGCTGAGGATGAGGACAGGACCTTGGAAGCCAGGATGAAGACATGCCTGCACTTCTTATAGAATTCTAGATCGGCATAAATGGTTGAAAGGTGCGCACCTGCTGGTGTCGAAAACTTCTTGTGCGGGGACCTGCTCCCCATGGGGACAAGAATCTCGCATGGCCAGCCGGAGTCAAAATAAGTTTTCCCGATGTCGGGGAAATAGAGCGTGAAGAACGGGTCGGGATCCACCAGCGCAACTTTGCTTGGCTGCAGTTGCTCGGTATTTCGCCGTTCCTCTTAGATTCCTCCGACGCAGCAAACACAAATCTCCGTAGACTGACCAACCCCACGCCAAATTGACAAGTTGGTTGATAGCAAGAAGCTATAAGTTGTTGAATTCATGTGCCGGAGGCTGAGTAACTTTTTTAACTCGTTTGTTTGAAGAAGTGGCTTGGTCTGAGTCTCCATTAACACTCCAGTATTGAAACTCAAGTCATGGCGCCGCCTACACCTCTCCCCGCAGACTTTGAATGGGGGTTTGCTACAGCCGCATATCAGATTGAAGGCGCAGTTAATGAAGACGGCCGCGGCAAATCCATCTGGGATACCTTCTGCCATCTGGTGCCCACCCGGACCAAGGGAGCAAGCGGAGACATCGCGTGCGACCACTATCACCGTTTCGAGGAAGACCTCGATCTGCTCTCGCGGTATGGAGGCAAGGCGTACCGATTCTCTATTTCCTGGTCGCGAATTATTCCGCTGGGTGGACGAAATGATCCCGTCAATGAAGCCGGAATTGCATTTTACGACAGGCTCATCGATGCCTTGCTCGCAAGAGGCATTGTGCCGTGGGCGACTCTCTATCACTGGGATTTGCCACAGAAACTCCATGATAGATATGGAGGATGGCTAGATGTGGAGGAATCACAGCTAGACTTTGAGAGATTTGCACAGATCTGCTATGAGCGGTTCGGTGATCGCGTCAAAAATTGGATTACCTTGAATGAGCCGTGGATTGTGTCCATTTATGTGAGTTCCACCATTTCCGTCACAAAACCCTCAAACTAACAGTAGAACTAGGGATATGCGACTGGAGGAAATGCACCAGGTCGGAGCAGCATCAACCCGCAATCTTTGGAAGGAAATACTGCCACTGAACCCTGGACCGTGGGAAAAGCCTTGATTATGAGCCATGCCCGTGCGGTTGCTTTGTACAACAAGAAATTCCGAAGCACCCAAAAAGGTCAGATTGGTATCTCTTTGAATGGCGACTTCTATGAGCCATGGGATAGTGAGGATGAGCGCGACAAACTGGCTGCTGAGCGACGAATGGAATTCCACATAGGATGGTTTGCCAACCCAATTTGGTACGTTCTGAAATCCGACGTAACGTAAAAGATCGCTACTAATATTGCTCCAGTCTGGCACAAGACTATCCAGTCTGCATGCGAGAGCAACTTGGTGATCGCCTCCCAGCGTTCACCGAGGCGGACTTTGCTCTGCTCCGGGAAGCCGAAATGGACTTCTATGGAATGAACTACTATACCTCCCAGTTTGCTCGCCATCGCGATGAACTGGCGTCAAAAACTGATTTCCTGGGGAATCTGATCGAGTTGCAAGAGAATAAGCAGGGCATTTCCGTTGGTGAGCCTAGTGGTGTTCATTGGCTTCGTTCGACTCCGGACCTTTTCCGGAAGCACCTTACCCGAGTGTATCGGAAGTATGGCTTGCCAATCTATGTCACTGAAAACGGATGCCCTTGCCCCGGAGAAGATAAGATGACTCGTGACGAAGCCGTGGAAGACACATACCGAATTCGATATTTCCAAGACCACCTTGATGCGGTTGGATTGTCTCGGACAGAAGATGGATCTGACATCAAGGGCTATTTTGCATGGTCATTGATGGACAATCTTGGTATGTCGGCTCTTTAGGTAAAATGATTGATTTACTAACTTTCAATTGCAGAATGGTCCGATGGCTATGGGGTCAGGTTTGGGGTGACTTTCACCGACTACAACACCCTCGAAAGAACACCCAAGAAATCTGCCCTTCTGTTGAAGAGCATGTTTGAGGATCGAATGAAGCAAAGGGTGTCTTCCGAATCTCAACTGTCTTCCGAAGGTCCTAGAGCGCACATGTAAATAGGACAGTGGGGCGTTTTCTTTTCGGGAATATGTTCATCTAGCATGACTATAGAATGAATGAGGAATTTCTCAGACCGCAAATCGCACTGCTTCAATGTATCATTTCAATCCTAGTTGATACAAGTCCGACATCGAATGAATTTGAGCTCTCCGCCCCCATATCCACGTCGCTGGCATGGATCTAACAATAATAACACCGATATGAAGTCTGATTGCGGCTTTAATTCCGTTAAATCCGAGGAAAGATTGACCCAATTTTCTTCGTGATCTTTGTTGAGATTAAGCCCACTAGAATTACCCATAAAGGTAACTCCGACCCAAGAATTCCGAACCACGTTTAGCCCCGCGATCAACCTATAAATGAGATAGCTTGATCAACGACCTTCCGTCCACCAAAGCATACACGCTGGCTCGACATGGCTCTACAAAACATCAAGTACCTTGTCCGGGAAAAGGGTGGCCAATTAGTGGCTACGAGCGTCCCTAAACCGATAATTGTCGAAGCCACTGAAGTCATGATCCGCCTAAAAGCCATCGCTATCAATCCAGCCGATTGCAAGATGATTGACCAGGGCCATCGAGTCGCCTCATGGCCTCTTGTGGCTGGCCTTGATGGATCTGGCGTTGTTGAAGCTGTCGGAGATAGAGTAAAGAACTTTGCAATCGGAGATGAAGTATTAGCTATGTTTGCATCCGGCGACCGTGGTGCGTCATTTCAGAAATATGCCGTGGTACCAGAGATGATGGTTGCGAAAAAACCGTCGACATGGTCCTTTGAGAATGCAGCGACCTTAGGGTGAGTTACTGTGTTTATGTTTCATGATATCCACCATGACTGGATATTCTCGGATGGAAAGAGAGTATGAACAAGGCTAACTTCGTGCTCACAGGGTATGCTACCTCACAGCTATGATGGCTCTTGGAATAGGGCTGAAAACTCGGCTTCCATTTCTCTCAGGCGGGCCAACAACTGGCTTTAACCCTTCTGCGGTCCTCATTCTCGGTGGTAGCTCTGCACTTGGCGCGGCTGTTATTCAGCTTCTTCGTCTTGCGGTCCCAGAGTGCCTGATATTGGCAACCAGTTCGCCCAAACATCACAAGCACCTCACCTCTATTCTCGGAGCAGACGGAGCATTCGACAGAAATTCTACATCCTTGATCACAGAAGTAAAGTCTGCGTCTGGATCTCAAGGAGTCGATGCGATCATTGATGCAGTCGGCGCTGGTAGCAACCAGAGAAACATCTTCGAGGCATTTAATCCAAGTGGGCCCAAAAAATATGCCCAGGTTTGGACAGGCGATGAGGAGATTCAAGTCCCAAGCGGCGTGGATTCGGTTATGTTCAGAGGCCGCGATCTGCTGCACTTACAAGGGGGAAATAACATAATGCTGGCCCTGCAAAAGTTGCTGGAAGATGATAACTATAAACTGCCACTCCCAGTTCATAGAGTGGGCGAAGGCCTGGAAGCGCTGCAGAAGGGGTTGGATTTGATGCGACAAGGAGTTAGTGGAGAGAAACTGGTGGTTTCTGTATAATTGTACCGGCACTCGGCACAATTGAGCACGCTTGGTCTCGGGCCGAAATTCTCAAAGTTTAGCGGCCATTTCATGTGCCCCGCCTGATTCCTTAAATATTTCCCCGTCGCCCCCCCGTAAAGATTCTCCGCGACAAGGTAGCATGGCCACGATTAGCGCAAGCTCGTCTCCACGGCCTCGGCCACCTAGGGCATGCGACAGATGTCGACGGAGGAAGGCCAAGGTCAGTGCAGGGACCATTGGCTCCTGAAAAAAGGAAAGCTAACCGTCGAATTACGCCACAGTGTGACTGTCCAGATCCATCGGCAGTTTGCATCAACTGCCGACTGTCCGGGGAACCATGTACATTTGATTTGCCGTTGGGCAGAAGAGGCCCCAAAGTGAAACGACACAAGGCCAATAATGCCGTGGGCTCAAGGCCTCATCACGACCCGACCACACCAGCATCGCAATTACCAGATGCCGATGTAGGAGCCCAACTTGTCTGCGCTCCGGATTCGAGAACTGTGTCCCTAGACGCTTGGGATACCGGATTGAATGTTCTCGATCCCGCCCTCTCACCAGACACTGTCCACACAGTCCGAACCTCGATCTCCGATGCGCCGTCTGCACGAACTGTCTCTTCCTTGCAACGATGGCACAACCTAGCAAGGGAGCTATCACTACGGAACCCATCAGCGCACATCGAGCGGATGATAAACCGATGTTTCGATTACTTCTTTGAATATTTGTTTCCTTTGAACCCGCTGGTTCATGAACCAAGCCTGCGGGATGGACTGAGCTTCTTCGTCAATCAGGCCGCGGGCCGGAGTTTGCAGAGAAGCAATTCAATGTCCGAAAGCATTCTATATCGTGCAAATAGCCTCAAATATCCGGACCTGTGGCCGGACCATACATTCACCCTCATTACAGCAGTGTGTGCGGAGGCGGCATTCCTCCTTCCAAAGGACATTTTCGCTGAGGCCGAGGAAATTGCAGATATCTTTCTGCAAGCCTCTCGAAACTGCTTGAATTCTTACCTCGAAGCCGACTTGGAATACCCGAATGCCAACTCAGTGGCCATTCGGTACCTCCACTCCAACTGCATGCATGCGGCCGGCAAGCCGAGATTTTCATGGCACATCTTTGGGAAGGCAACCCGGTTGGCTCAGGTGATGCAACTGCACGATGAAAAGTCGTTGCAGGGCTTGTCTCCACTCGAGGCGGAATTACGCCGCCGCGTGTTCTGGATTGCCTACATCGGGGACAAATCTGCCGCCATACTCAACAACCGCCCCATTACAATTCACAAATTTTCATTCGAGTCGGGTATCACCACGGCATATCCTACTGGAATTGAGGATGAGATCTCTGTTTCTCCGGGAAACTCAGCACTAGATGATACTACGCGAAAGAGTTTCATTGTAGGGTTCAATGCAAATCTACGCCTATGGCAAACAGCATCGGACTTGCTTCTTGAATTACGGCTGCTCGAAAGCCGAAGGGACCCCGGCCTGATTACGCGACCGCTTCCAACTGCCGAAGAAAAACATCGAATTGATCACCTCTTTTTGCTTTTTGTGACGTCCCTTGATGACTTGCCGCCATATCTACAGCCCGATATGTTTGCGGTGAACGTCGATGAGGATAGCAATCAATTGGGTAACCCGCTGAAGCAGTATATCATCCAGACGGCGAATCTTTACGTGTCGCTACATTGTCTCCGATTGGTCATAGCCCAAAAGCTCGAGGAGTTCAACCACGCTACGCCATTGCATAACGATATTCTGCTACTACGGAAAACCGAGATCGCTCGTGATATGCTGCGTGTAATCCGCGAAGCTCCTTTTTGGTCATTGCAGGTGAACGGCGAGCCATGTGTAAGTTGGCTTAATCTAGAACAGTTTTCCTTTTGGTGATTGATTCTGATTATTTTGAAACAGGTGGAGAAAATCCGACTGATTGGTGCCGGCCTACTGGAGATAATTGACCAGTATGAGGCGTCTCCACTGTCGGCTAGAGCTCGCAACGATCTATCGGTCTTACTCGACATTCTAACAAGGCTTGACTCAAAGGCATCGGACACATTACGTAGGTCATTGTGATTTTGTGACTGTATGATCGAGACCAATGTAGAGTATCAACGGAAATTCTTCAAATATTTCTCCAGAAGCTTAGCTCATTGTGCCGCTTTCATTTTATTTCCCCGAGCCAATTGAAATTCTCCCGCTTCAAGGCACACGGACCCAGTTAAGGTTTCTCCGGGGGAGTTCAGGAGTAGAGTGCGGGGATCCCCAGAAATTTCACATTATTGTTGAGATTGGTTTGCCTTTGATGACTTGGGCAGTGTTGCTTGTATCTACTAGTGTCTAACATTTAAGGCACGAGCATGTGGCTTATAAATGGCCTCGTAAGACCGCATCGGATACCTTTATTTTCCAACTGTGGTTTCCAATTCTTTCAAACTTCTCCATTCGCCTCTTTTAATCTCTGAGAAGAACATACCATGCGTGTTATCCACACATCGTCTCTTGCCCTGATATGGGCAGCACTGACAAGTGCCGCGCCATCTGGCCAAACCAAAGCGCCATCATGCCGGTTCGCCTCTCAATATACCCAACAGCAAGTCCTTCGAGACCCGAGCAAGTTCATCAATGACATGTTATACTGGGAAGGACATTTTCACCAGAACAATGTTTCCTACAACGCAGCGAATGGCATGTCTTACGATGGCACCAACATTGATTGGGTAACTGGAGAGAGAACCGTGAAGCACCCTTTCAGTGCAGCCAGCAAGGAGGTTAGTTGTAGAGTCTGTATAATGTTCCTTGCCTACTGAAGCTAATACCTGTAACAGTCGCTTCAAGTCATGCTCTATACTCATGCGGTTGCGGGCTCAGCAGATGCCGCCCGTTTCCTGTCCCCTAACAACCCAGCTGCAGCCCCCGAAATGGTAGTCTCAATCATGGAGACCAAGCTTCAGACTTATCTGAGATTCAACGAGACGTACCCTGGTTTCGGTGGATTTCTACCTTGGTTTACATCTGGCACCCAAGATCTCACTCCTACTTGGGATTGGGTTAACCGCGTGCCTGGACTTGACAACGGGTAATCGTTATTTTCTGGGCGTTTTCTGAGATTGTTTACTAACAGGATTATTTCCCAGAGAGCTTCTGTGGGCTGTCTACGGCTTTATTCAGGCCCTGGAAAACACCAACAACGCCTCCTACAAGAAGCTTGCTAGCAAATGGCAGATCTGGATGGATTATACCAAGACCACTGCGGCGCAGGTATGTGTGATATTTTTTTTGGAATATTTGAATCATACATAAACCCATATACTAAACTGAATGAACAGATCTTCTACAAAGGAAATGGTCGAGTCTGCTCCGTTATCGACATCAAGAACCAATCTCTCCCCGTCAATGACCCTAACCAGTCATATGACTGTGAAGGAACTGGCCTACTCAATGATCCCTATGAGGGCGAGCTGTTCACCTTCTGGCTCAATTTTTTTGGTGGCCTTTCAGACGCGGATAAGCAGGCATTGTGGGCGATCAAGCGGCCACAGTTGGTGAGCGTAGACTACGACATGGGCAATGTTGGACCCGTCACTGTCCAGAAAGGTCAGTCCATGTCGACCAACTTACTGAGATAGTGATTCTGATTCCAAGAAGGATACTGGTTCTCTAGCCACGAAACCTGGAAGGTCATGGAGATGCCCTACTACGACGTTGATATCATTCGGTATGTCAACGCCCAAAGAAACAAGCTCTCTATTGCCATTTAAAGCTAACAATTCCATTAGGCGTGTCTTCGAAAACGCTGAACGTGTGCGCACCTGCAATTCTGTCGTTACCAAAGTTCCCGGGATGTTCGCTTCAGTGAACAACTCCACCGACCCCTCCAATGGCCAGGTAATTGGGTACATCTCGAACGCTGGTATTCCATCCATCGCGAACCAGACAGTCCAGGAACTAGACGTTATCACACCATACAGCGTATTCCCTACTATCCTGTTTAACAAGGCTGTCGGCTTGGCTTGGTGGAGAAATATGGCCATTGCCAAAAAGGGACAGAGTGAGTGTTTAACCGATGGTATTTGCTTTCACTGAAGAATTACTGTTCTGACGATATCTGCTTAGATCCCTATGGAAGCACCGAGTCCACTCGTATCGATGGAACAGGGGCTTCTGCTCTTGTCACCTGGGATAGCAAGATCACGACCGTGAACGCTATCCTAGGAGGCGTGACTGAATGGACTCGTCAGAAGATGAAGAATGAGGGTATTTATGATGAGTTCATCAGCATTGCAAAGGTCCGATCAAGGCCATCCAGTTTAAATGGATTGATACTAACTACGATGCACATCTAGAACGAATACACAAACGTATTCAAAGATCTCAAGGGAGAAAATGTCAACTTCTGCCTCCCCGAAGAGACAGTCCCTGATGCCGGCTTGGAGGATTTCACTCTTTGCACTTAGATTCAACTACCTTGAGTTGTACAGACTGTACCTGTTAACTGCCTTAAGGGCAAGGTACATATATTTGTTCAAGTTCTTCAATTGGAATGGGCTCGTTCGATAATTCTTGAGCACCATTTAGAATTAACAGGTTGATGGAATAACAATAGACATAAGGCCATGACCAGATACACAAAGACGCCACGCTATGCTTCTTAAGTAAACAAACATACCAGAGATAGCTTTTCTCTGCCAAGAGAGTTACGACAACGCCAGAATCCTACTTCAGGCAGCGTTCTCACTAGCTGTGGTATTTCCCACAGCAGCCATAGCAGAGCCTTCTGTCGACGCTAGCTTCGATCGACCTTGCATGGAGGTGGCATCGCGCTGTGCGACCTCTTCCGCGATGGAAACACCGAGGCCTGCGAAGGCCTCCATCAAGGAGCGTGAGTAGTACTCGCGCAGGTCATAACCACCAGCCTGCATGCGAGTATCCTTGCGAATTTTATCCAGAAATGCGGAGGGATAATAATCTTGAAGTGTGTAGTAGTCGTGTTTCTCTGGGACCATGCCGGCGAATGGATCGTAGGGCTTCTCGGGTTCGGGCGCCTTGATCTTGCGGAGACCCTTGACGAGTCCAGTATCAGCGGTGCCGGCAGTGTCTGATGTATTGAGTCGACCGGCGGTGCGTTTGACGTCTGTGCCGCGTAAAGCAGCCTGTTTTTGGCGGATACGTTCTTCCTCGCTGCGCCGAGCAGATGATTTCTTGAGAAGTACCTTGTGCCCTTCACGTGCGATGGCAGCTGCATCGGCTGGCGAACCGGCAGCCAGACGCAAGAGAAAATCGTTTCGCCCGGCCTGCATCTCACGTCTCTCATTCTCGTATTCTTCGCGCGCAGCCTGTCGCCGCAGCCGCGCTTCCTCCTGCTCTAGAGTCATCCGTGCCTGGAACGACTGCGACTCTTCGGCCTCCAAGGCTTGATTCGTCCGGATTGACTGCACATTATCCGTCGCGTATCTCTTGAGCTTTGACTCGGTTTTCGCCACGTCGATACCGGAAACTAGGTTGGCTATAATCTCTTCGCGTTGCTCGAGAAAATCGTCATAGGCGCGTTTCGAGTCGAACTCCTCTTCTCTGCGGTTCAACCTGCGAAAGGACAAATGTCAGTCGGGATCTAAACTTCATACAAGACATGCAACCTACACCTGCATCACTCGACGTCGAATATCAACTTCCCTCTCCACCCCGATGTCCTCGAATGTTTGCTGGCGGAACTTGTTTTTACGCAGAGTTTTCCGGCATCCAGCGACGGGGCAGCTGGATGGGCCAGATGAGAATATCCGATCCACACAGGACTCGCACATCTTATGGTAGCATTCCGGGTTGATGAGGAATCGCATGTCCGGGTTGAGGTATCGCGAGGATTTGCAGACGGGGCAGACCTCTAGACGCGATCGGATCAGTATGCATTAAGAAAAGAGCTCAAAGAAACTTACCGTCTTCATCCCTGCGGGCTACGCCACCTGTGGCCGACATGGTGAGTGAGAGACAAATGAGTTGAAGGTGGGAAGAATGACGGAGCTGATAAGGATCACGCGCACGGGCCACACCGCCTTAGCTTTTTTTGCCTCCCGCGGACCTACAACTTTTTCTCGTCCACCACACCAGTCGATCGCAATGGGGGTTTCTAATGCCGACCTGGACGCGCTCGAGGAACAGCGTCTCACCCTGGAAGATAACATCCTCAAGCTTCAGAAATCACTCTACCACTGGCGGACTTGGGAAGCAGAATACGACGGTCTGCGCGAGGAAATCAGCAACCTACCGAATGACGCACTGGCCGAAGAAGTGCTTGCGGTTGGCCGCGAATTTGGAGGCACATTGGTGAACGAGGAGGAAGTGCGCGTCATCCTTGGTGGGAAAGACGGCCTGACGCGGTCTCGCACACAAGTGGTCGACATTCTCGGCCGCCGGATCGACTATGTCAAGCAGAATATCGGGACCATGGAGAAGCGACTGCGTGCAGCAGAAGATGAGTTGGATGGTCTTGATGACAACGGTCAGGCTTCGGCGCAAGGCGAGACCTCGTTTCCCATGTCAGAGATTATGGAGGAGCTAGACGAGGAAGGACGGGTGATCTCCAGTTCCGTCAATACACCAGGAGACGATGCGCCACAGCTCTGGGATGCTCTGAAGAAGGCAGGGGTCAGAGATATTCCCGACGGAACGGCTGGGGAGACAGGTGCCACCGGTGGTTCCTCAGCTGTGCGCGAGAGTGTCGCGCAAGCGCCAGCTCAATCAGCCGCTGATCCAGAGATTGCTACGCATGACCCGCACTCTGCACCAGAAGAAAGCAGTACGAATGTCGATGATGAGGTCGATCTTTCTCGTCCGGTGTCTCTGGTTACTGAGGAGGACCGCAAACAACCACCGGTGTCCAATGTCAATGAATCTACAGAAGATGCCAAACTCCGCCGCGAGATGTTCCAATACGGGATTGATGAAGTGGGTGCGATTGTGGCGGAGCTGGAAATGGATGAGGATGCAAGCGATGTATCTGTCGACGAGGATTATGAATACCAAACCGACGACGACGATGATGAGGATGAATTTGGCCGCTCATACCCAGTGCTCTCCGAAGACTACCACCAGCAGATGCGCGAATTGGAGGCCAAGCTGAATGCGCGGGGAATGTGGAATATGGGCAAGGATTCGCAGTCGCTTCCTGCAGATGTCAGGGAGGAAGTCGACACACAGGCTGTGGAACAGAGCGGGCCAGTAAATGGCAGTGTCGATGAACCTGTCAAAGAAAAGAAGCCCAAGAAGCGTGTTGCATTCGCCGATGATCTTGATATTGCGCCTGCTCCTAATCCTCCAGTTGCAGAGAAGAGGACACTTCCTCCACTGTCAGATATTCCGGTGCTTTCTGACTCGATTGTCGAACGGACAGATAACCCGCAGGACACTCGTCCTGCGGCTACAGAGGCTCCCAAGAAGGTCTCGCGCTTCAAGAGTGCCCGAGACGCAGCTCCTGAAAGCGATGTTACGGACAACACTTCCACTAGGAAACCCTCGCAGTTTGCCGAATATCGGGGTCCGAGAAAGCAAACCAACGCGGCTCCTTCGTCCGTGCCCCCTCCTCTTTTCCCAGCTACGCCGAAGGAACCAAAACCCTTCTCTACTCCGATCACTGACATCTCCAACATCCCCTCTGCTCCTCAACCTCCGGAGGGGAAAACTTTGGCCGATAAGCTGGTCGAGCGCGACGTCACCCCGGGATCTGCCGCGGCACCAGAAGGAGAAGAGCTAGACGAAGAGATTCACCGCCGCGAGATCGCCACTGAATTCTACAAAGCGCGGAACCGTCTCGTCCACCAGAATGGCGGGTTTGTCAACGATGACGAGCAGGAGATGATCCCTATTGAAGACGAGGACCCACCGAAACGGATCAGCAAGTTTAGAGCTGCTCGGATGAGATAGCATGTCACAAAGGCGCAAATTGGGCTACTTTATACCCGAATTCAAACTTGATACCAATCGTTCAACTTACTACCCCCATTCTGTAGGACAGTCACACCATCGTATTATGGAAAGATAGAAAGGAATTCATTTGACCGTGGTGTATTCCGCAGTCAAGAAATGGACGTGCCATTCCGTGGTATGCATCCATCTATCAGAATTCCAAGATTGATTCAAGCAAACCGAGGGCTTCTCTGGCCGCATCCCTGCGTTCCCAGGCCATTCATGTTTGTTCACCTGGTTGACAGCCACCTGTATTGTGCTTGTCAAGAGTACTTACGGGTATTTGTTGGTCAGTCTGGGCTTGTCATAACGTGGTTTGGGATCCAAATCCGTGGGAATGTGGTTTATTTTTGTCCCCCGACATCCAGTCGTACATATTAAATAGAATTAATGGAAATAGCATTGAGCCACTATGGACCTTCGCAGATGGACAGCTGCTTGTATGCAAGTAGTGAATAATAAATTGATGTTAGAAGGTATCACATTGGAATATGCAGTGCACGATCATGAGCGGTCATAGGAAGCGTTAGGTTGGCGAGAAGAGGTATCCATCGAGAAAAATCAATGAGGTTGAAAAATCACACCCGTAACACTGACTGCCCTTTATGCCACACGCACAATGCTCCCAGGCGTAGACCGAGAATGACAACGGCAAGATGTACGACTAGGGCAAGGATCTGCATCCGGACGTTGCGGGTACGCAAAGTCACCGCTGCGAGAACAATAAGAGGGTAGAGGATCCACGGACTGACAGCGAGAGGGGAGCACGGGTGGAGAACCGAGACTGCCTTGACTATGAACAGCGAGAGGTGCAGGGTTGATGATGAAGGCGATTGATTGAAGGGGTAAGAAGTTATTGACTGCAAAAATGGGAATCGGCTGGGCGGGGGGGGCAGAAGCTGTTGCTGAGGAAGGGCGTGGACGTCGGTAGGTGGTTCTCCGAGAACGGACCGTCGAGTCGGGGAAACGGGGGGTGATGTTGAGTACCTGGGCCGCACCACTATATCTCGATCAGGGCTGAACGAATGTCCATCTTCCGGTTTTGTGTCTGGTGCTGGCTCTGTGCTCGCTCTGGAGTGACTGCTAGAGTCAAATAGCGAGTCGTGTCGGAAATGCACCGGGCTGCGAGGGCTGCGAGGCATTTTTTTGGTCGGCGATAGAGCACGCTGGCCCATAGACGGATGTTGGGTATTGACAGGATGGATCCGAGAGGCCGGAGACACATCAGGGCCAGTCGAGCTGGCTCTTTTGTAACGAAAACGCTCGCTCGTATTGGCTCCCACTTGGATACCACTCAAAACTTCGTCTGCGGACGGCCTTCGGTTGGGATCCACAGAGAGCAACCGTTCGAGGAAAGTGTACAGTCTCTCCGGAAGATCGGGTCGCATTCTCCGTGCCTTATCGAATCCTTTCCAACGGCTGATCTCTTCTCGGAGTCGGTCCAGGTCTTCCTTTTCCTCGTTGATAAGGTCGGCACTGTCGTATGGAAGATCGGCAA